GTCGGCAGAGTGTCGCAGACTGTAGGCTGTAGGCTGTCACCACCCTGTTGCCTGAAGATGAGGAATTCGCAGGAATCGCTCCTGGCTGGTGGCTCCTGCCCCGGCTCCGGCTGAAACACGCCCGGCGATCGATTCCAAGCTTTGCGACATCACAGGCCATTTGACGATCATCCGATAATGCCATTGTATCCGATTGTATCCCATTCTCAATTCTTAATTTGATGTGAACGTGCCTTGAACAAGACATAAACATATACTGTACCCTGAAGCATCAGATGATTTCGGTTCCAGGAATCCATAGATCGTCACATGCCCGGACATCCACCTCACTTCAAGAAATACCCAAAAGCATCCATGGAACTGGAATAGTTACTATATATTGATCCCTGTGCAATCAATTACCTCAAAATAGGTACTGTAATATATGACATACATGGATCTCAAGTGCCTTGGGTTTTGTAATGGAGGGCTCAGGACCCAGCAAACCCACCAAACTGCGACTGCATGTATCACTCATCAGCTTAGTGAAGATCGTGTAGCAACCTGTCAACTTACAACATCTTACAACCATCTTAAACTGAAAGGTTGTAACACAATAACCCATCCAGCAACCAAACTGTCAGCCTAGCTTACAACTGCTTACAACCACCATAGCCGCGTGCACCCGTTGATGCTGCGTGGCTTTGGCTTCGTACAGTACAGCCGGTGCTCTTTTCTCGCCACCAACCAGCTGCTGGAGCCACGTTACTCGTCCTCAGTTGGGTAGAGCGGAGGGGGCTATGGTAGGCCATTCATACATATTCATACCAGATAGAGTCACTTGTCATATCGTGGAATCTGGATGAATCTGGTATCCACAAAGACTTGTGTTGACCCTCGAGGTGTTGACCCCCGAGCTCCAAATGGGTATTCAAGCCGTCTTCATCGTGGTGTTTGCAAACACCCGAGCTCCACCTCGCGACCCCGACTCGTAGGGCCCCCGAGAGCGCTCTCACATCGGCCGGACCGGAGCTCCACCGGCGGAGCGGAGTGTCCCCAGGAGCGGTCCGGGACCGGACGGTGGAGAGGGGCCAGTGGACCTGGGATCAACGGTACTGTATGTGGGAGGCAGTTGAAACTGAGCCAAGCTGTAGTATAGAGACGACAAAGAAGCGTCAACATTCAGTTACTAGTCTCCCGCTAGTCTCAGGTGTCAAGGTTCTGGCATGTTCTTGCTGTAGCGAGGTGTCACGTCAAATGTCCGTGACCCATGCAACACCAAACGCAGCTTAAAATCAACACTTGTCCAACGTTTGGGTAAGAGTAGATGGAACTACCAGCTATAGCTATACCTCAGAAGAACTGATAGAGTATATAGAACTACCCTCAGCTATAGATACAGATACAGCTGATAGGATATCCCTCCAGAGTTGGCATAGCATGCAGGTGCATTTGCCGGTGCATCTCAGCCGCTCCGATGCTCCACCCCGGCCGAACCCAGGCGTCCATCGGTCCCTCTACGGAAGTCGCTGCGCAGTCCGGTGCAGGCGCGGAAGTCGGATGCGAAAGCAGGCGGGGACTGGAAGAGTTTATAACTTATACCCAGACACTCCACAGGACTGCCATATAAAGAGGGTAATCAATGTAGGCGTGCATCTATGGCAGTCGCATGGAGCGTTTGGGATATACACCGATGGGTCATTTGTATGGGGATGTACGGGGTAAATGAATGTGTGTAGCTATTCCAATCCCAGGACTGCTTTCAAAGCTGTCCATGTTTGTGGTCTTTGGATGGATCTTGGCAGCCTATTCCAGAAGGTTGAGTTATTTTTTGGAGCAATAGCAATAGAAAGAAGACCAGCACAGAATTGGATTCTCATGTTTTTTTAGAGGACGCGGGGTGAAGTTGGAACGCCCCAGCCCACTGCTTTCACTTGGCTGGATGGCTGGACTAGGACACATCTTGCATTTTACATCATTTTACTACGTTGAGATCTGAGGGATGGTCATATCGACTGGAAGAGTTGCAAAGAACATAGGTTCATCAAAAAGAGACTCATTTCGATACATGGAAAAGTTGGAAAATCAGACTGATTTGACCTTTCCATCTGAAAAAGTCTGGACTTGGTGACTTGGTCCGACCCGCGCCTCAGGAGTCACCTTGGAGGAGCGCGGAGCGGTTGTGTGGTGGGGTGGGATGGGTCGGGCCGGTGTGCTTGTTTGTTTGGTTTCTCTTTTTCTTTGAGTAGGGAGAGGGGGCAAATGGTACGGGCTGCCCTACCCAGTCTGTTGGGAGGTCTCCGGAGTCGTCCGATTTCGGGTGAGGCATACCTATCCAGGAAAAGTGGATTGGGAGAACCCCAAACGAACAGGGAAACAAAGGTCAGCCTTTATTGTCTACAGGAAATGGGCGAAATGGGCTCAGATGTGTCAGAGGATTGGGGTATTTCATGGTAATTATCATTTTTGCACGATTCTTTTGCCCAAGGAAGATGTACAGGCTGGCTCGCGGATGGTGCTCACTTACAAGGACTTCCACGAACCTTCCTTATGCTCAAAGAAATGTGATTTTGGATTATGACAGGAGGTTTAATCTTTAGTCAAGAGTTACTAGTCAAAAAGGAGTTGTATTTTCCATCCACTCTTAGCTTACACCATATGTAATGGCGTCGCCGTCGCAGTCGCATCGGGCCGTAAGATTGGTGGAAAAAAGCACCGGGATGTTTGGGGAAATCCGGGGACTACCAGGCCGAGCCATTCAGTCCAACACCAGGCAGTCTGGCTGCCTTTCTTTGTGGCGCTCTTCGTCCGCGGCTCGTTTCCGCCACGTGGGCGGAGCGACGTGGGGAGTCGGCCGGTCGGACGGAGAATCGGGAAATGAGTCGAGGAAGTCAACAATGACAATGCTTGGAGGCCATGACCCTGTAGGTTGGAGGCCATTCCCAACGGTTGGAGGTTTCTCAGGTCCGACATGTGTTGGCATGACATGCAAGAAACGCACATCCGTTGGGGAGGGTCCAGTGTCGCGGACCTTGTGTTTTTCCCATGTTCTCGATTGTCAACCGCCCAATCGGATGGCCATCCGTTCTTCAAAACTGGTGGACAAACGTTTGGGAGGGTGGGATGGAGTGGGAACTCCGAAGCAAGCCACGCTAAACAGTTTGGGGGTGTGGCCTGAGCCTGAGCAGCAGGTTTTGGATTGCCCAGCCCCAAACCATCCATGGATGGAATAGCTACCTAATGCTACATACATTTACCTACCCGACCCTTATGTTGGTAACTATTCCAGTCCCATGGATGGCTTGGAAGCTTTTGTTCTTCCCTTCAGTTCGCTCCACACGCTCAGGCGGATGGGAAAGAAAGCGCCTGGAGCCCTGTGGAGTGGTGATCTTGTCGGGTGAAGCCGCTACATTCATATGGTTTGTTTGTGTCCGAACTTACCTATCTTACCTGTACAGCCATCAGTAAACGAGTAAACTAAGTAAACAAGAACATTACTATTTTTGATTAAGGCCTGCAACGTAACCATCATCATCCATTGGTACAGGTAAGAGGGTAGAGCCAAGATATGGTCTTGGAAGCATGGGCCCAACAAAGCGCCACCATCAGCATAGTTGTGTTTGCTCATTTTTGTGAGTTGATGTCAAGGGGCACTTGAGGATAGGAACATGCTTCCCTGGATGTGTTAGATCCAAGAGAGAATCAACAACTCGCTGCAAAGAGCTTTGGCAGTTGGCTCAAAAAGATGTAAGTAGACTAGTCAGTCAACTTAGATATACCCCCAGGCATTTTGGCTCAGTCACAAGTAAGTGGTGATGTGAGGGCCGTCCGTTATTGCCAGTGAAGGAATTTCGATCAAATGTTAAAACACACATGTCGCGAAAGGGAAACTGCAGTCCGCGAAAGGCCGGCAATAGGACAGCGAAAGACATGTGCCAACCTAGACTTACATACAATGTGCATAATACATGACACATCCTTTTTCCCGAACAGAAACACGGATTTTCGCGAAAGGGCTGCGAAAGGCCGGCGGTAGGCCCGCGAAAGGGCGCATTGCCTGGAAGGTCATCTGCCCATCCATGGCCTTGAAATAAGCCTTGAAACATTTGTTTCAAGTATGAATTGACAAAGGGTAATTAGCCTGCTTCTCAGCGCACTAACAGGTATTTAGATATCCCAAACACTGTGAACTCAGTGAAGCTCATCACAATGCGCGAAAGGAAAACCTGTGGTTTTTCTGCAAACGCGAAAGGGTCGCGAAAGGCCGGCGATACAAGCTCAAAAAGAATAGCTTTGTTGGACAACTCCCATGTGTAGAACAGTCAGTTTTGCCAGAGATGAGATTGGCTCAACAAGAGACATTGAAACGTTCACCATGTGCAAGAGGCCATCAAACTTGTGAGCGTTCCCTGTGCAGTGCAACAGTTGGGGTGTTGGTATTACATGCATATCTCTCTCTGTATATATATATATATTTATTCCAGTCCCATGGATGCTCTGGGACTGTTCACCCAAGCGGGACGGACGTTTTTTTTTCTGGCCGGGCGGACCTTCAGGTCCAAAGGTGTGGCCCCGATGGCCCCGCGGGGAGAAAAGGCGGATGGGCGTGTGGCGGCTGATGGGCCAGAGGGAGACCTCTCTTATTCCCCCAAGTCCCCGGCAAGGGGCATATTCTTGGGCTTTTTAAAGGAGTCTTTGAAGGTCCCCCTATAGCTATAGACAGTGATTTCAGAGGTGAGAAATGGCACCCCAAGATGTCTTGAACAGATGGAAGTCCATATAACTAGACCACCAAACTTGGGCTAACTTGTTTGCCATCTGAAACCACATGAAACCACTGTGTGCCGTCTGAGATCCGCTCCAGGGTGTTCGCTTTGGGCTCCGCTGTTGGACAAAGGATTCCTGCTTTCCTGGTGCTTGGTTGCAGCGTGCTCCTGGCCTTGGACAAAACCAAGACGGGACAAGTTCGTCCAGGTTTTGCTCCATGGTCAGCTTAGCAGCTGCCACGGTATGCGCATGAGTGGGCTGGTTCTATATGTTGTTCAAGGGAGAAGCCTGCACCACCGGGGATCCGCTACGATATGGTGTTTTTTGTTTCCTGTTTGTGGCTTTAATTGTAGTAGGAATTCATGAACCAGTAGGAGCTTGAATGTTGAATATAGAGGAATCGAACCTCCTTGATTTGCGTCGAACACTTCTGAACCGCCTTTCGATGCCAAAGACCTTCCAAGAGTTTTAGGAATGCTGTGGAATGGTGTTCATGCATTTGGTACATCAGAGAGAACATGCGGCCGAGTGACAGTCACATCGAAGACGTCATTGATCGTGTGGTGTGTCCCCAGCAGCAGCAGCAGCATCATCATCAGCATGCAGCATGCTGCTACTGCAGCAGCAGCAGTCGGCACAAACATAATCACTTGAGCAAGCTGGGATATGATCAAAGCCCTCAGTCATGTGGAGTCTCAGGCTCTGACACCGCGGGTCCTTGTTCCGTTCGCCTCACTTGGTCTCCACAGGTCCGGAACAAGGAGGGCTCGCTACGGCGCAGGTGCTGCCCAGACTGTGGCACCGAACTACTTGCAGTGGGTCCACTACTAAACCACCGAACTTGGGGATTGTGCCATCTACTCTGAAACCACTGTTATAGGATCATGTGTTTTTTTTGGGGGGTAATACGGTCTCGACCGGTCTCAACGGTTGTATTTGACTGCCAGTTCGCTTCCTTCACAAGCAGGTGCCATGCCAGAGTCTGCAGGACTTCGCCTCGGCTCTGGCGCTGCTTGGCTGAGAGTGGTGTGGAGGCTGTGGCTGTGATCAGCTGTGATCAGCTGTGATGCTTCCTATGGAGATACACATGGGATATATAGAAGAACATGTGTCCCTAGCTTCTGAAGATGTTGGACCCGAAGAGAAAAAGAAGATGGACTATAGACGTTGTTTGGCTGCATGCCCGATATGTAATAAGACACTGCTTCCCCATACATGCCCCGTTTGCTACATGCTACATACCTGGAACCTGCACAGAGCTCTGTCCGAACTTCGTTGCATACCGATGCAGCCAGGGCCCCATTTGGAAAACCCCTTGCGGTTAAAGTGTTGCCGTGCATCGCACATATCACAGCCAAAAGGTGTGGGTGTTCCGAAGGAGGTCGGATTCACAGGTGCAAAACACTGTAATTCAACGAGCTTCAAAAACCATAATACTCTCCTCAGCTCTCCTCGATCAAATCCCTAGTTTTTGGCAAACCCCTGTATAAGACGGAGGTCTATTGGACGGGGTTCTATTCCTTTTTGCTAACAGCGACTTTCTGCTCCCATCCCCTGCAGGGAGGTACCTTCCTAGATCCTCGAAAGAATGGATGTGGAGTGTCGTGCTGCAGGATTGAAACCGTCCTTTACAGTGGCTCAAAAGGAATACCCAAACACGCCTGCATTGACCTGTTTTCCCCCACAAAATCCATGGAATGTTTGGATATAATACTTAGCAGGTCACGTATCGAAAGAACACCACCCAGAATCGAACTACAACGAAACAGTGGCAATTTGATGCAATTTGTAGTGTAACTTTTGATGGGCCAATCAGTCAAAAAAAAACACGGGCAAGTCTTGCTTGAGGGTGGTAGAAGCTGTTGGCAGGCAGGAGGAAAAGTCAGCCATTAATGGTCATGTTTGGTTTTAGATGGATCCTTCAAAGCCTAAGTGACGTCATTCTGGGATCTCAAAAGTTCACTGGGAAGGTCCTTCTACTTGCTTGGATGATGCCCTTTTTCTGAGTCATAGTCCGTTGCAGGCGATCAGCACCCTGAAAAACCACGGGTGCTGGAGGAAAAGCGCTCGGACGAACCGGGTTGCCATGGACTCCCCGGGTCCGTGTAGCTCACTGGGTCCGTAGAGCTCGCATGACATGACTTGCCAGGAAGCAGCTGGCGACCAAGAACCGTCTCATCCGTACCTTCGATGTGGGTGGCACCGGCGTGAAGACCGTGCCACGGCGCAGGGGGGGTCGTGGATGAGTTGAAGCTGGGGATGGCACACCTAAGCTACTGGCAAAGCCTGGTGGAAAAAGACATATATACAGTACGTTCTGAGAACATCACATTGAACGGATTAAATGGGGGTCCCATGGCCACGGCTCACCTAGCTGATGGTTTAGAGCTGTCAAATAAGTGGGTTCTCATGTCTCCCAAGAATGCCATTCGGGGCGCCCGCTGGTCCAGCATCCTTTGACATGGAAGCTCAGGCGCTGTTCTCCGCCCCAAGCCTGCAAAGCTTTCTGGAGGCTGAAGGCCTAAGCCCTGCAAGGGCTAAGTCGTTGGATGTGGTCGGGGACAGTCCACTTAGTCATGACCGTGATGAGATTTGATTTTGCAAAGGGAATCAAATAGCCACGCCAGGGCACGCAAGAAATTGTTCAAGACTAAAGATTTTACTTACCCTGCCAGTTTCCTCAGGATGTTGTCGTGGGTGTTTGATTGTTGGGGGCCCATATTACATCATCTTACATTTTTCAGCGAGGGGCTGTCGAAAGGTCCTGGATGTTTGTGATGAATCTTTGTGAGAAGTCTTCCATTTGAACTGGCTTGAGTCAGAGCATGCCATGTTAAGATGTGATGAAGCTGGATGAAGCAGTTTCGCTTTGCACTGCTGACGGAGCTATTAACAGTCAAGGGAGCATCTCTGGCAGCTGGCAGCTTTTTGCACATAGTTGATAATTACATCAACCGTTTGCGGGATATATCTATGCATATGATCATTATGCATTGAATCTGGATCCCCAAATCCAGAATCGTGACTAAATAGAGACACACATAGATCCAAAGGTAACAACTCTTATCAATTCCTTGGGGTGACGCACCTGCTGCGCCGACCTCATCTCCATGGCTGGGTCTCCTGGCGCCCGTGCCGTCCGCGCCCGGTGGCGCGGGCCGGTCGGCGTGGCACTCGCAGTCGGCGCGGTGGGCGCCTTCGTCCCGGGGTTCTTCAGCGATCTGAAAGCAGAGGTGGAGAGCGGTGGCGCCACGGCGCAGGTAGGTAGAGAGACTGGGCGGAGCGTGTCTAGTGGAGGGACCTTTAGCAGGGGGAGAGGGGGAGTCCTTCTCAGAAGCTGAGAATTTGGAGCTTCTCTTCAGTGTAGCTGACATCCGTGTTTACATGTGGCATTGGGGGAGGATCAGATTTGGTCATGTGAATGCTTTGAATCCAACATCCAACATCCACTCAGGTGGGCAAATGGTCACCGGCTATGTTGCGAAGAGAGTGTCTGGGCGTTTTTTTGGTGTGTGCGAGGCGTCGTCCAGTGGGAGCCCCGGATCCACCGGTAGAAGCAGGTTCGGAAGGTTCGAAGTAGAAGAACTGAACACAACTGAACCTATTCCGCCCCGCTATGGACCCCCAAGACCACATCGGGTGGACCCGAGCGGTCGGGTTTCCACCGGTCCATTCTCAGGTAGGGTACTTCTTGAAGCATCAACTCCGAGCTTTGAAGCTTCTAAATGGCTTCTACCAAAGCCAAGGGGCGAAGCTGCAAGCCACACAGTTTTGGGGTTATACTATGTGTAGTAGGTCCTTGTCACCACCAGGTGCAATGAGGTTTAGCTTTGATTCTGAGTCTGGGAAATCATTCGACCCAGCTCCCACACTGATTTCACCCTGCCAGGTGCCTTTGTGGTGCCTTTGTGCAAGACATGTCAAAAATTCCAGTGCTTCATCCGAGCAGCCAGGGTGCACAGCAAACCTGCCATTAGCCATCATGTTCTCATTCTCGAAGGGGAGGCTGTCAAAAAGCTACAGCTCCCTCAACCGGTTTGTCTTGGTGGTGTAGTCAACCCGTCCACCATCTCAAGTCAAGTTTTTGCTTGGCCTATATAGGGTTTGGTTGCGTAGGGTACTTAGCATTATATACTTGACTACATAAAACGATTTTCAAGAAGATCATCCTGACAACCCTGATATAGGTGGTGAAAGTAGTAGTGATGCCAACATCCAGCATTCGTCCTTGATCCGTCTCGACCGTATGTGTTCGGTCCCAAGCCCAAACCATAATGCTGGGTATGTCCAGCATTCGTCCTTGGCTCACCTCACGGATTTAAGACTTGTAGTCTACTGGTTTTTGAAGCCGTTGGCTTGGCAAATTGCCAACCACCTTGGGCTTTTGAGGGCGCTATGATACCCCACCCTTTTCTTGTCTCAGAAAAACCTTGGCGCTGCCATGCCCGGAGCCCGTCTTAGGGCAAACGCTGGGCTCCGGCAAGTTTGGTGCAGTGTACCGTGCCCACTTGGGCGTTCAGGAGGTGGCAGCCAAGGCAAAGCACGCCGTTGCGGAGGCGGAGTTGCTGATCCGCTGCCAGCACATGCTGCTGGAAGTCATGTCCGGCACACAGTCACTGTCGGACGTTTGGCTGTGCACTGGCCAGCTGCCGGCCCATCATTTCAAAGAAGCTTGCCGAGAAGCTCGAATTGAATCTACTGAATTACTCCTGAGGATCCCAGGAGATGTGTGAAGGCCTGGCGCACCCCCACACGCTCGGTATATCCCATAGAGACACCGACACCAAGTCAGACAATGTGCTTTAGTGTCTCAAGTCGACCCACCTTGCGGCTGCAAGCTCGGTGACTGTGGGTCGGCTAATGTCCAACCCTTGAGGGAGAGCCTTGGCAGAAGTGGCCCTCCAAAAGGTTGGTTACGACCCTCACCCTCACCTATCTAAAGCTGCTTGACCCAATGGAACCATCGTATGGGCCCGGCTCTGTTCAAGCCCGGTTCTGTGATGATTGAACTGAAAGATTTAAGGACTGTTGGCGCCTTGGCCTTCATTGCCTCTGAGCTAGCCCGCAGCTATGACCTCAAGGTGGACATAAAGGCATGGGCTTAGAATCTTTTTGGCTGCTGTATGGTGACCTTGCATGGGCGTTGTTGGGGCAGGCCAAGCCCGCCCCCCAAGATGAATATGGACCCGGCCAATAAGAAGTGAAAATTGCCCGAACATGCCTGCATGAGCTTGATAGTGCAAAGAGCAGGATGCTTTGCTGGAGCTTCAAGCCCAGCAAGACAACAGATCCTGCCGAAGCCTCAATGTGCTACAAAGCTTTGAAAGCTCAAAGCTCAGGCTCACCAAATGCGGAAAGGGATGCAAAGATCCTTCAACTTCTGCGGTAGGATCAGAATCGCAAGCCGCAACGTCGGTGTAGCGCGGGTGAGGCTTTGAACCACACATGCTTTGCGTGAGAAAAGGTCGAATCCGCCATGGGAGCTGAGATGAAAGATGCAAACTTCTGGCATCATGAAGTATTGAGTTTCCTGCTTTCGATAAAAATATATAGCAATGCCTATAACGCAATACCGGCCTCTGATTAATCAACGATGGTGACAAGAAAGGTCCCACTAAATAAAGGACACCCTAAAATTCTAAGAAAGGAGGTTAACAAGGAAATAGAAGGAATCTTTTTCAAACATGACAATATGTTTGTATTTGAACGGGGGTTGAATTGGAATCCAACTGCATTTCAATTTGAGTCAATTAAAGTTTGAATTGTTGTTAAAAATGAATTCGAAATAGAGTTGAATTTGAACTGAATTGAATTAGCAATGATTTTGCTTAAAGTAGCATTAAACTAGAAATGAAGTAGAACTGAATTGGAGTTGAAGTGAGTTAGAACAGAATCAGCATTGAATTTGAATTAAGTTAGGGATTTCTTGGTAACGCAAATGTTTAGCTCTATTTAAGGTCCACATATTTAGGGTATGATGGCTTCATGGGGGGAACACTTTCCAGAGTGGCTTTGATCAATTTTTGACCGCTTTCAATGGCTTGTTGAAAAACGGTTCTATGAAGAACTATTATCAAAAGGTTTTGTGTTATGATGTACGCTAAAGCTAGTTCTGATGACACAGCAAAACATAAAAAATGCATAAACAATGCAAAAATAATGCAGAACCAATCCCGAAAAAATGCACAGAAAACGCAAAAACAAGTCACCAAAGGATGCCTTGGAATGCAAAAAACGCCAAAAATGCGAAAAAAAAAACATTTGTCCACTAAACAAATGCAAAAAAAAACGACAAAAATACAAAAACAAATGCACAAAAAAATGCAAGACAAATGCACAAAACATGCAAAACAAATGCAATCAAAAACAAACACATGCGATCGTTCTGGTCTTTGCCTTTGCATTTTTGGCTTTGTATTTAATGCAAGTTTTTGCATTTTTTGGCGCGTTTCCTTGAGACAACGCAAAAAACAAAGCAAAAATAACGCACAAAAAACGCACAAAAAATGCAAACAAATCGCACATACAACGCACAAACATCGAAAAAAAAAAAGCACACAAAAGGTGGTGTGTGACATTTGGTTGTGCATGTTCTTTTTTTGTGCGTTTTGTTTGTTTGGGGTTTCCTTTTGCAATTTTTGTGCTTTTTATATGCACTCTTTATGACCAGCTGCCTTTTTCTTGCCTTTTTCATGCCTTCTTTTGCATTTCCTAGTCATCATTTCTGAGTGCGGTTTTGCATGTTTTGCTTTTTTTTTTATGAATCCTTGATTTCAGAGTTAGGCTGTAAGGTACATCATAAGTTTTGTGTTTTTATGATTCAAAAAGATGTTAGATGAGGAGGAAAAGAACTTGAGAAAGAAATCCACCGAAGCAATCTGTTAACAAAGGAATGGAAAGATCAAACGATAAGGATATAAATAGAGTTGTTTTGCTGGCAGCGCGATTGTTTGGCTTTATTTTGGGGTGCACTCTATTTAGGCTATGGTGGCTTCAGTAAAATGCAATAGTGTGTTTTTTTTCAGAACACGACGTTGTGGAGGTGTTTGTTTTCCCAGTGTTCTAGTCTTCTTACGAATTTACTATATCTATGCGCTGGAGGTTCTTATTTATAGGGATAAATTGCAGGAGGATACTGTCACATCACGCGCCACATCACAGTAGCAGACATCGCATAGACATCGCAATGTCGCCAGCGTCGCGGACATGGACCGCACAGAGTTTCCCAGAGGGGGGGGGGTCGACAAAAAAAAGATGGGCGGCCTTGATTTGAGGCAGCGCCAACTTTGTTTTCTTTTTTGGCCGACCCCCCCCCGGGAAACGGAGAGCATACTGAAGAATCAGAAAGGAAAATGCGCAAGGAAATGGAATAGGACAAAATACTTTCCATTTCCCACGAATCTCGTCCACTCGTTGCTTGCACTTCTTTGTAGTTGAGGCTACTACAAATTGGCGATTGAAATTTGTAACTTCATTCGCTCCGTTGGCTTCACTGCATTGAGTGGCACTGTCTGACTGCATGTACACATAGCCGCTTTGGATCCAGCTTCCTTTTGGCTTTTCTCTGTGGGCTAGCCGGCCATGTCTCTTCCTGAAACAGAATCGGGCGGAATAACAGCACCTCCGGCAAAGAGGTTGCGTGGTGCTCAGCAGCCACTTTCCCTTGCATTGAACGCTTTCATAGATTTTTCCTGCATTGCCTTTCCCTCTGTAATCTCGTATTTTTCCGACTGTGCTGCACTATTGGCTTCGCTCAGGTTCCGGGCCTTCTCCGATGTGCAGGGCTCGATCGCTTCTTCTCAGCATGGTCCTCGAGAATTGGCTTCGAAGAAAGAAACGGAATCTGCAATGTTGCACCAGTGGAAGGAGTACAAGGAATGGAGTCGCACTCACGCACAGATGGCAGTGCCAAGCTTCGGTTTTGTGGGTGGCTCATGGTGGTCCACCCATCATCAGGCCTCATTTTGTCTGTCAAGGAGATGCAGAAAGCGGAGGACAACCACATCGCCAAGGCCGCTCTGGAACAGATTGTGCCATCTCTTCCTTCACTCAATTGCGTCATATATGACCGTGCTTGCCGCTTTGTGAAATGTGGCACTTCTACGAAGACCCTCCGCAAAGTCAAGCACTGGTGCGTGGACAAGTTCCATGCAAAGGGCCATTCCAAAAAGTGTGCATGCTCGCCCTTGACCAATGCGACTCTCGGAAAGCGCGTTGAGAACGTGAACACCAGCGCTTGTGAGCAAACCTTTGCCTGGTTCCGGGGCTACTCCCGCACTTTCAACACCATGCGCAATGAGAAGCAACGATTCATGGTGCTCTCCTTTGCCCGGAAGCACAACCAACTAGTGCGCAAAGGCGACACCAGACACCTGAATGCCTACGCTGCCAAGAGGCAGCAGGGCAGGAAGGTTGGTGTCATCAAGAATCCGTCGGTCATGAAGTACTCCTGCAACAAGTGAGGGAAGTGGCTTCACAGAAGCCGAGGCTGAGTCTAGCATGGCTTGGTTTGAGGTCCCTTCGTCTGTGCGCCATGGTCCTAGTGCAGTTTTTTCTTAACAATTTCCGCCATGAAACCAGTGGTCTATGCCCAACCCAGAGACCTCATTCGCCGGTACATCTATAGCTCGTAGATGCACATGCAGTGCCACCTTCTCTCACTGCGGACGGGCGTCAGTGTGCTGCTTACGTGTTGTGAACCTTTTTGACGTTAAAGCTGTTGGTGCATACAGAGTGGCAAACTGAAAAGCATCCCGAGGAGCATTTGTGACCGGCTGCGTGAAAACATGCGACGTGCCTGTGCAAATGGGTACCTTTTGGTAGGTCTGGCTTGTGTCTGTGATTCATAGTATATGTCCGAGTATTCGAAGCGAATTCTTCCACTTCCTGTAGCGCAATGCACGTTCACAAATATCGTTGCAATCCAACAAGCACTGGCCGCTGGAGTGGCAAGAGTCAGTGAAGTACTTTGCGGCAAAAGCTCCCATATGGACAATATCAAGGCAATGAATGCAACGAAAACATAGAAAATCTATTGAAAATCGTAGAAAAACGCAAAAACACTGAAAAACATTGAAAAAAACAGACACCTCCAGGGCGTCGTGCTCTCCAGAATTTGGGTGTGTGTTCTTTGTAGATATAGTTATATACTACAATAGGGTTTCAAAAGAAATTCCATGCTAAGGTAATGGGAGAGCATGGCACCAAAAAGGAACAGTCGTCATCAATAATCATCCTGTTTGGGTGTCGGGCTGGACATGGGTTTTTGGTGCATGGCCTTGTCCACAAGCATGGGTTCAATTCTGCCTTGGGGTCTCTGTAGCTTGGTTCAAGATGGAAGCCAGATTCATAGCCAGAGAGGAGGAGGGGGTGGTGCCAATGAAGGCCAGGAAGCTCTTGGAGTGCATACTGGCCCTGTCTGTCGAAGTCTGGAATGGTGTGTGGCTGGACTGGGTTCCCTGCAGGGATTGAGGTGGACTGCCTGAGTGCTTGGTGCTGAGTCGCTTAGGCCAGTACATGACACTGCAGCTGACAGGGTATGGGTACAAAGAGCTGGTACACAGACAGCTGTACCAGGATCTGTACAACAGAGAGCTGCCAGAAGGACTTGAAATCCACCACATAGACCACGACCCTGGCAATAACAGGCCCAGGAACCTGGTGGCGATGCTTACCAGGTTGTGCAGGAGACTCCATAGAGCTGGGTGAAAAAAAGTGTGGGTGTGACGCGCAATGTTTCTTGGTACATATTTGTTATAGCTGTCTTACAAATGTTTTAAGAGTATGCTTTGATTGATTTAAAGATATAGTGTTTTTTGCGTATAAAAATGCATTTCTGCATGTTAAGAAAGATATTTCTATTGGCGAATGTTGAGCTTTATTTAAAGCCTTTTGTAATCAGGGCGGTGGGTTGTCTAGCTTCATTTTGGGGTTGGTTTACCAAGCATGGGTCCACATTATATGAGTCAGCAATTGAAAACGGCTGGTGACCAACACCTAGTGGTGACAAAACCTGAGGGCTTGAGAACAACACATCCAACGTGTAGTCAATGGTCAGAATTGGGAATCTGTTTCCCAAATCGGCCAACTGGCTGGCCAAGTGCACAAAAATAGTTCATATCAGTTGCCTCCTCACCCGCGTGATGTGCAAAAACATTTGCGCAAGTCGCGTCCCAAAATTTTGCTACATTAACCAACGCCTGGAAATGAACCATGCCTGACACAAAGTCCACAGCCAAAATTTCACCCATAGTGAGCCCTAAGATATATTTCACGAGACCTTTTGGAATGCTACGAAGCACTATCAAGGTCGAAACTGCAAGTTGAATGCCAGTCTTGCTTTCTCCACCCAGCAGGGGCCGGAGTGTCCCCCTGCAGGGGCCGAACATCCACTCCACCCCAAAGGCGCTGGATTTCAATCATTTCACTACGCAGTTAGAAGGAAGCAGGGTCCTTGGAACCACTGGTTACCTCCTATTGCGGCTTCAAACCCGGATCCACTGGGTTTGAGAGCAAGGATTTCATGAACCAGAAGCTCTTCGACGGTGTGGAGGACCTCCCACGCGAAGTCAGCGAAGTCCAAGCCATTGCCATCGTCCCCAGTTTGAGACAGCTGCGTCGCAGCCTGCTTGAGAGTTCGGTGTCTTGGAGGAGATGGTGCATGAACCCGTTCCCATTGGGTTTTCCATGCGTTCTAGCAATTTATCACCGACGGTCGACGGTCGTAAGGATTCAAACAAAAAATCGTAAGGAGAGAAACCGGATTGGACCGGCATGTGTTCATGTGAATTTCCCTGGTGGGCAACGGGGCTACTACTGTATATTGGGCGCATTGAAGTGCATGAAACCGTTTTCGAGAATCCAGCAACATCCACTCCAGTGAATCCCTTTAAAACATTATCACTTGGCATGGAAACACCCAGAATCATGCATTGCCTTGAGTTTGTTTGGGTGTTGTACATGTTTTGCATAGAGTCGGGGTTCTAGGTCGAGATGGTTAGTACAGTATATAATTAGGAGTGCCCACCCCACTATCAGTTCCAAAGCTGCAGTGACGGGCTCTAACGAGTGTGTCTGGCTGCAAGCGCCAGCCTTCCAATGCTGTGCTGCTTGCAGTCAAGACCCCGTGCTGCTGCAAGTGGCCCCATTCCAACGTAGCACACCTTCTATGAGCCACCTGTAGGTGCTAGCGTCAGCCCTTTTGTAGGAGGGCGCCATAAGAGTAAACTTCAGAGGAACAAACACCACGCTAAGGTAGCAGACCTTTTGTGGGTGACCCGAAGATAAACATGGAGAGGGAGCTGCCCGAGGGCAGATTTCAGAGAGGGAAGGGATGACTCCAACGTAGCAGACCTTTTATGAGCCACCCAAGGTTAAAATTTAAGACGAGGAAGGATGCAGTCCAATGTAGCAATTATAGAGTTTAGAGTCTAGAGACCCTTCATGGGCCACACTAGGGTGAGGTTTAGGGGAGGACCGTTCCAATGTCATGGAACTTTTGTGAGCTACCAGAGGGAAAAAACAACTTCAGAGCAGGAAGGAACCATGCTAAGGCAGCAAACTTTTTGTGAGCCATCCGAGGACAAACTTCAGACGAGGAAGGAATCATTCCAATGTAGCAAACCTTTTGTGAGCCACGCTAGCTCTGGTGTTTCTTCTCTTAACCCTTTTGTTGCTCCTGATATGCTTCTAGAGCACTTCCGGGAAAAAAATCACAATTCTCAGACAAACTCGAAAACATTCCCCCAAAAAAATCACCACCCCTATGGAACTTTGGGCGGCGTCATCGAACTGAAAAACTCTCGGAACATGGAGGGTGGTTCAATTCAAACCCACTTGCTTCCATGTAGGGGGGATCTATTGGAGACCCCTTTTCACGGATGAGTCTGGGCATCATGTTCTGAAGTTGGCTGTGACCTGTACCTTTGGAAGTGCATCTCGCAACCGCCCCACACGTAACTGACGGCGGGGTGGCAGCTGAGGCGGGCGGTCTCCATGCCTGGACCAATGGTGCCTTTGTGCCAGTGGCTTGGGTGCGTCTTCTGGTGTCTCAAGTCGAAGAGCCGGTGGGGTCGCCGCAAGGGGAGCTTTCAAACCACCTAAACCGCCCCAAAAGGTGTGAGGCAATCCTGCTTCCAGAGGCATGGACCCTCTAAGTCTTTCCTGGCACAACTCTGGGCCCAGAGAAACCTTGATTGAAGGTGGCAGGCATTGGTGTTCTCTCTTTAAGGGGATCCTCGCTTTTGAGAACTGCGCGCGGTCTTTTAGTCCCACGGATGGTCTATGAACCAATCCTTCATCACGTCATCAGCCCTTCATCGGTCCAAGTCCGAAGTTCCATCATATTGATTGGGATGGACACCTTGCAAGATCTTGCAACTGCTGGGATCTACCATTGCTTGTAGTTTAACATAGTGTAACTTTGTACATGCATGCGCTCTGGAGCATTGATATGCTTTGTTTGTTCGTTCGCTTGCTGGTTTTGTGGCTGGATGAGTGCCTGGAGACGCGTTGGCCGGTTTGGGGTTCACCCAGGAGTTGCTTCACGTGTGGCAATCCGAGGGTGTTGCGTTCGTTCTTCTGGACTTGAGTGGACTCAATCGTGAGCCTTTTGGGTGGAGAATCTCTTTGAAGAATTGATGGGTTTTCCATCGCCGAATCTCAGGTTGACTCCGAGCCACCGGCTGAACGTACACTTGTTGCCATCGAGGCTGGCATGTGAATCAGGAAGTGTGTCTTTTGGGATTGGATTTTCTTGTTGCCTTAGAGCCTTAGAGTAAGCCAAAATAGACTCCGTAATCACCATTTCAGTTGCACCTACGCCCTGCCTCCAACAAATGAAAAAGCCCCTGTTTCCAAGAGGAAAGTCGACTTCAACCGGCCATTTTTTTCCACTTCCATGTTTGTCAGATGTAGAGGGTATGCGTGAGAAATCCAGCATATACTTGGGAAGAATCGGCCACACTCCTGTGCTTGATCCCGATGTAATCTCGCTTCCCTGCAGTACAGACTGGGTGTGAAATGTGGAAACGGCTGTTCAACGGAGTTTGACATGGTTTTACAATGTCTTACATTGTAGGGAATGATTAACAAATATGGAATGCAATGCCTAAATTGACTCCTGAAGCCACTCCATGTATGTAAATAGGCCAGTCCCATGAAGTGTTTGGGTAACACATCACAAACCTTTGTGAAAGCTTCAGCGCACATGCGGAGGACCATTCTCAATGGGGCGGCTTCCCCATTTTTGGCAGTGTAGCCGTAGCCAAACCAAAGTTTGATTGAACATTGGACTCATACACACCACCACCTGAAGCGCGCTTTACTAGCTCTAGATGCACTAGATGAAGCACTCGGTGGTGCTACTCACTCTCACCGATTTCCTTCTTTGCCCATGTCCATGCCCCGCACTACTCGAACAGATTGTATGTTTGTGAATATATACCAGCCATTGATTAACCCGCTGCGACACTTGAAATACCCTCTACACAAGCAACATGCAACTGAACAATGACCCTAAGGCCCTAAGGAAGGCTACTTCCTTTTACAAACAGCTGATTTGTTTGCTTACTTGTTGGAGGGGAGAGAGGGGCAATGATTGAAGAATTGCAATCCCTAATTACAAGCCTATGATATTGCAGAAGGCCACATAGGAACACTTCACAAGTAAGGTGTTTTCCACTTTCCTTGGTCCTTCTGAGCGGGCATCGGTGTTTCCCACGGAACCAAGGAAACGATGACCAATGGCGATGATCTCCGAGAGAAGCTGCTGCAGATGGACTTTGCCTTGCGTGTGATTGACCCATGGCAGCAAAATTGGTCCACTGATGGAAGACTCTCAATGAGACATGGTTAGCCATGATACATGTGTTCTATACGATTCTAGACGATGCTAGAATGCTTTTCAGATTCTAAAAAGTGTGAGCCGTTTTTTTCTCTCAGGCCCCTAGCAGGGATAGTCAGAAGCTATGCCAACGGGTTCAAGCGGTTTGTGTAAAAATGAGTTCGTCATTTGTCGAACCAGTTGTCCAACGATAAAAGGTCTTCCGGTCTTGAACATTCCTGAACAGTCTCACATTGTCGACTCTTGATTAATAACCTCCCCCAATTGAATGGAACAACCTCTTCAGGCTTGGGGGTTTACTAAATCAAGAGTCTCAAGCTGATTGACATTTCAGGGCATATCACCAGTTCCCACCAGTCTCCTCCCCCAAGTCGCGCCAGGAGAATAACGCACTGATGGCCCAGGAGGCCCGGAAGCTGCCGCGCTGTAGCTCGGATCTCGGTGGAGATGTCCTGGTGGAACTGAGGAGATGTCGATGGCCAAAACAGGTTTAAGGCTATCTACTGCCTGGGTAGGTGGCCTAGGCCTACTTTCCTGAGTGTGTGTTTTTTTGGCGTTTTTTTGCCCGAACTGGATCAATCCCGTGGCATGGGGAAACATGTGTGTCTTTTCTTTTTTTTGGTGGGTTCCGAAAGCAAATCCAGGAGATCATTCAACACAGAAGTGTGGTTACTGGTCATTCCCAGACACGACCGGTGTGATTGGAATAGATGCATTCGTTGACCCCCGAAGCCAACATAATGTATATAGGTATGTTTGGGATTGGAAACCATGAATATGCCTGAATCGGCTTTGGAGTTTTGGAGTCTTGGAATGCAGTGGACATCCTGTTGGTTCACTGGAGTCCCGAAAACAACTAGCATGGCTCCACCATCCCTACTTCCTTCGGGGCCTTTGGGGCCTTCGGTCGAGCAGAAGAGAAGACTCCTTGGCTGTGCTTTCCAGGGGGCCTCCCTATAAAGATTTACACCCAGAGACTCTCATATCTCCCAAGGAGTTGAACAGCCAATCATGTGATCGAAGTTGGTCGAAGATCATTGAGCCTCCTGTGTGTTTACATGATGCAATGCAATTGAGCCAATCATATGGTTTGGCTTCTTTAAGGTCGAAGCCCCCCGCCCGTTCAGCGGGGCCTGCAAGACATGCGATCAAGGCAAAGTGTCCAAGGCCATCGGAGGCCCTAGATCTAAGGATTGATCAGAATCTGTTCTAGTTTGAGAATATGTTCTATTATATGACAAGTAGCAATCAGTAGTTGTGGTCACCACACGAGGTTGTGAAAAGCAAAGCCTATTGTCAGGACCTCAGGACTTCTATTATAATACTAGTAGTAGCTGGACCCTGTAGACCCTCCGCAAGAAAGACGTACCTCAGCAATTTTGAGCAAGCGTCGCCGGCAAACACTAGGTGGTTTGATCCTTTTCAGCGGCAGCTTGGAGAGCTTCTCCACCGTGCTCGAAAAGACTTCGCCTGATGATCCAACTTTCACAGATGCTTGGCAAGTCAGTGAGACAGGATCCGCTTGGTTGACCTTTATAGGAACTATGTCCCGCCATTCCCTGTGTATCCACGCTTTGCTTGACGATCTTTATGCTCGACACCCAACAAGCATGGAAGTGGACAACCTCCCGCTTGTCGAGGAGAAACGTATTCCAGGAGGCCATTGTCCACTTCCATGATTGTTGGAGGGAGGGTAGTTAGTTGTTCCATGCTTCGCCATGGGCCAAGCGGCCGGAGTATTGGGTTTCGCTCAAGAAGTGGACGCTAGAACCTCCGAGGCGGGAGTCCAGAAGTTGCCTCCACTGAAAAACTCATAACAACTCTTCAGGAAAAACATTTGCCGGCACAAGGCTATGTTGATTCATGATTAACCATGGTTTGGGCATCCAGTGTGAGTCATGGTTGCTCCTTTCTCCTTCTGGCTCAGAATTCATTGATCTTTCGCCACCGCTCCCCTATAGACTGACATTGGATCCTCACAAGTCCACACTATTACAAAGGAAGCTGGTTTTATAATGTTATATACATATTTCTGTAGGGCCCCATCGAGTGCACACTGATTGGGATTGAAGTGGATGGCATGGCCCCTGGGAAGACTCGTACAAACAAGCGGTTGATTCCACCTGTTCGTGGAAGTCTACACGAGCCTGGCTGTCCTGAGGAGAAAGTTTACCTCCAGCATGTTTCAAAGAAGGACGCCGCTGACCGAGAGGAGGAGCGCCTGATGGAGTTGAAGCGGCGATGGGCTGAGCTGGCCCTGCCTCCAGAGACCTTCAAAGGTCTTTAGCGACGTCCTTTTTCTTGTGAACGACACGAGCGAGCGAGCGAGCGAGCGAAGAATTTGAGCAAGCGAGCTTGTTGCTAGGGTTTCAAGAGATGATTAATAGATTGTAAACAGTTCCTGGTTCGCTCAGCATTGTTGGAGGTCGTCGACGTATTTTGGCGACTAGATTGCAAGTTTTGAAGACTGCTGACTGCAGATTCCCCAGAGGCAAAACCACATGAAATTGAAATTGCCACAAGCAGAAACGACCCGAAGCAATATGTGTGCTCTACAATTTTGTACGATGAGTTTTCTTGGCGTCCTTTCTATGTGTGCGAATGTGGCAAGAGCAGATGGACCCCCTTGCATGCAAACAGAAACAGTTTGGAATTTATCAATGATTTGCAATGTGTTCAGCAGATTGAGTTAGTGTGCGTTCAAACGGCTTCAACAAATCAATAATATATCAGGACCCAACAATGTTGAACTGGCAACCTTCAAGCCAGGTTGGCAGAAATACCACCGTTACATATAGCATAGTTGTATAGTTTTGCTTCTTCAGGAGGTTTCCTATTTGGCTTGTCTTCTGTGAACTAGGGCATGTGGCAGCTTGCCAAAGGGTGCTATATAACTCAGTCCAAGACCGGTTCCGAAGCAGTTCCTGAACACAAAGTTGCTAAGTTGCATTCTTTAAAACATATTTCTCTTCTGGGGGATCTACTGAGCTAAGTCGAACAGTCGGGCAGGGACCGGATACAGAGCAGCTTTCTCGAGTGGCACTGAGTTGGCCTGTTGGACGAAGATCGCGAATGACTTGACTCCCAGGCAGTTGGAATAGCCAGCTGGAGAACGTCGGGTTGATTATTTTTGAGGCTGCAACACTCCCAGATACTCCATGGGACTGGAATATATACCCAGATTGACCCCTGAAATCAACCACCCCTGGCCCGATCGGTCTGGCTGTGTTTGGGATTCTGTTCCACGCACCTCATCAATGTGACCTGTTTAAACTGCCAAGGTGATCCAAGGTGACAATATGAGCCACTCTCTAGACAAAACCTTGGATTCTGTCAATTCGGCTTTTAATTAAACAAGCACCGGGGGTTCGACATTCTTTGATCATTGGGATACGGCTACGGTAGTTAACACCACTGGCCAGAAGCCGTTTGCCATATTTTGAGTGGTTGGTGTTCTATTACCTCCGGTCACTTTTGCTGGGATGTTCTATTCACCAACCTGTGGTTTTCACAATGGCTCAGAAACACTCGGAAGACTCCGAATCACAATCTGTAATTAGGTCAAGTCCGATCCGTCATGGGATTCCCAGGATTCCGCCGCCGAGGTGCTGAGCGCACCACAGTTCTTCCGTATACGGGTGGCACGCACACACAATGCACACCAGAGGCTTGTGTTCTGTTTCTTGAGTTATTGTGTTCTGATGGTGTTGAGTGGCAAAGACTTTGTTTGGGATATGATATGGTGACTTTGCTCAGCATATGACGTCATGTTGCTCGTCCAACATGCTGCCGGACAACACACTGCAGTGCCCCTACCGTTGCATTCCTCTCGCCAGCACCATGCTGCATTCTTTTGCAATGTGGTCCATTTGGAGGTGTGCGAAATATGTACAGTGGACAGGCGCTTACTGTATCCCTACACCTGTTGGGCGCAAAATTGCAGATGGGCCGGAACTTGTTATGATGAGACATGTGTTTTCCCTGCAGCAGGTAGAATACTACTCGCTGGGGAAGTTGATTGGTATTCTGGTACCTATCGGGGATTTCCCTGTTTCAAGTCGAGGCAAGAGGATCGGATCCTTTATGTTGGAGGTGCCCTGTTGGACAGCAAAAACGCCATTGACTTGATTTTTTTCACAAATAGGGAGAATTGGTTTAAGGGAAGCCCAAAGTTTGAGTGTGAAGACCATGGCAGTTTGGAATGGCCAGCCGCAGAACGTCGGGTTGATGAGTTTGGGCTGTGGCTGAGACATTCTTTTTACTCAGGTGCACGAAAAAAGAGACTGGAATATATGCGCCCCCCTCCCCAAGGTCAACCACCCTAATGTAGAGCAAACATATGCAAGAATTACGACACATTAAATCTGGCAGAAAAAAAGCACATGGAGTGTTTGGGACATGTTGCCACAAAAAGGAACAAAGGAACTAGGTCCTAGGTGTTCGTTGAGGTGAGAGTTGGTGACTACAGTGAACTACAGTGACTACAGTTGGTGACTATAGAGTCACTACAGTACGATTGGTTTCCATTGAACAACAATCCAGGTTATTATTGATTCGGCAGCCAACGATCCAGCATCGAAGCGCACAACACGCTGGCCGAGCAACAAGCCACACGGCCTGGTGATGCACACAGAAGACTGTACAAACCACACACACCGACACCAGGCGCTTCCTTTTTCTTAAGTTTCATGTTTTGCTGATGTTGTTAGCAAAAAATGCTCAACATATGATCATTTTGCTCAACATATGACGTCATGTCGCTCGTCCAACATGCTGCCGGGCAACGCATTGCGGTGCTTGTATGCCTCCTTCCATGTCACATTTTTTTGCAATGTGGCCCATTTGGGGGTGCCCAAATTGTTGAAGTATGTGCAGTTGCTTACGGCATCCCTACACAAAGGTTGTGCCCGACCACTTGCATTGGCTTAAAGGACGCAAAAGTGCAGATGGACCTGAACTTTTTCCCCAGATAGCTGGAAGCTATAGGGGTTCTTACTTCTCAATGGATGGGTTCTGGATTGCGGAAATTGGCTGCCGCTGCCGCCTTGTTTCCCAAGCTTGTCTCCCTTCATGATTTCGCTTTTGGCTGCCGCTGCC